AAGTGCAATTTTTCTCATTACATAGTCGACATAGTCCTATCCCGCATCTGACTTTTAATTTGCGTGATTGAAGTCTAGCGTGCCTCGCTTGCAACAGACAGAGGACTCGGGACGCGCCGGTACGCGCGGGATTCCGCGCGCGGATTCGGGACTAGGTAGACTGGCTCACCAAAACTCGGTCAGCGGTAGCTTTCTAAAAACAAAATGGCCGAAGCCGAAAAGGCATCTGCGGTGCAGTTTAGTGGCAGCGAGAGAGAAGTCATTGAAAGAAAATTAGATGTCTCTACCGATGCTCTAGATACAAGGAAAGACATCAGTGATTTTTATGAAATTTCGAGATGCGTGAATGTCATAAAAAGTCGTGGTTTTGAGAAGGTGATCACGAGTTTATTTCAGTTCTTCCAAACTTTCTGTAACTGATCGATATAAACACAGAGAAAAGTTTTTCTACGTCTTTTAGAAAATACTGTAAGGAGAAGAAAAATATCATTCGAGTATTTTGATTTATTCCAAAATATAAATTATCTTCGTTTGGTCGTCACTTTGTCTACAACTCGCATGAGCCTGTTCTATTCATAATTAATCATAAAAGTACAGCTTATCTAGCATGGATTTTATCACAGGATATTCCCTTAATACGTATATTTCTTCTATATATACTGGACTTAACCTACACAATCTAATCTTTAGTTCTTTTTTCTCAGGTCGCTCTCCAGTTTCCGGACTCACTGTTAATTGACTCTGCAGCTGTTGCTTCATTGATTGAGAAAAACACTGGAAAGAAAGTATTTGTGTTGGCTGACACTTCATATGGAAGGTATATGAAATATCCTGCCAATCTGAAATGCTGACGGTGATAGTCTTATCATCTATCCTATGATATTAGTGTTTTTATTCCCATGATCATTAGTTTGCTTGATGCTATGGTCAGTGACATTTTGAGGAGAAACTCATTCATTTATACTATATTAAATTCCTATGTTGGTGACAAGTTTGCTAGCAGTCTGTGATGAAAATAACAAAGTAAATGGATTAGGCCTAAGAATATCGTTTAGGAGTTTGTCTGGTGTGATGTTCCAGGTGATGGTAAAATAATGTGGTCTTGAAGAGGACTGAACATTATTTGTTTAGTGACTGACATTTTCACAGACTGAGAGGAGGTAGAGCTGCACATGTAATCTGCAGAAAATCATTACAGGTGTAGCTCTTAAGACTTAGTTTTGTTGACTAAGTCATGAATATATTGCTTTTATGGGGTAAAAATAGCGAGCTCTAGGAACATGACTTTCGACGTGCACTTTCTTACAGGGTGTTTTCTAAAATCTTTTGGGAATCTTGTTCCTGTAGAGGATTTTATTTTAGCCTTTAAAGTCATGATGATTATTACATTCTGTCCTTTTCAGTTGCTGTGTAGATGAAGTGGCAGCAGAACATGTTCAGGCTGATGTGATCATTCACTATGGCAGAGCTTGTTTGAGTCAGTAAGTAACTCAAAAATATTTGAGAAAAACAAAAAACTAGATGCTATGGTGACCAGAAAAACAACTCTGGTTAGAGAGTTCAACTCTTTCAAAAGGTGACTTTCTCCAAGAATAACAGGGGAAAAGCTGGACCTTTTCCAGTTGGAAAATATAGTCCATCTGAAGATCAGGTTTAAACTTCAGAATATCATTTTTGGAGTGTGAGTTATGACATACTGAAGGACAGAAAGCATCGATGTGACATTGCTGGGTGATAAGTTAATACAGAGCTGAGAATGACAGCCAGTCTCTTCCCATCACCCAGCTGCCATGTTTATCTGTTAGCAACAACAAAACTTACTTTTCACAGAAAATTTTCAAAGCTTTCGTGAACAATATTGAACAAGAAGATCTGTTAGATCTTATAACCGCACTTTTAAAATTCAACTGTTTGCTTAGCACTACCGTCGGAACGCTGTGCACATTCCAAAGCGGTCATTGAAGATTCTTTTCTTACTGTAGACATCACATCACTTGATCAACACAAACTGTATTATTGCACCATCAGTGGTAGCCGTT